TTACACAGTCTTCGAAAAGCCAGACGCCCAAGCACTTGAATTTATCTACTCTCTCTATGGGCCTTGCGGTAAATTTACCTTGTTGACTAGTTGTTGTAGGTCGTGTATGTTATCAGCAATCAAGACCGTATCATCAGCATAGCGAATATTGTTAATCCTCACTCCATTTACTTTGACTGCCATTTCCACGTCTTCCAAAGCCTCCTGGAAAATCGCTTCCGAATATAAGTTCGACAGGAGCGGAGACAGCATACATCCCCGTCGTACCCTTCTTCTAATCTGTATGGTGTTGAATATATTATTGTCTAATTTGATTTGCGCTGTTTGTTTCCAATGTAGGTTTTCAATGCATCTAATGTCTTTCTGATCTATATCAAGCTCACTGAGGAGCTGCAATAATGGGTGGTGTTGTACGCGATCGAATGCCTTTTCGTAATCTATGAAACATAGGCACACATCCTTTCTCTGATGGTAGCAGTTTTGGACAAGCACTTTTTTGCGACTATCGCTTCTCGTGTACCCAACCCCTGTCTGAACCCAAATTGCGATTTGCTTATGTCTCTTTCACATTTCTTGTAAATTCTCTGATGTTATGATTTTAAGAAACATTTTTAATGGCTCATCAGGCTGATAAGTCTATGATCTTCACATTTTCTTGCATTGATCTTTTTAGGCAGAGGTATAAAAGTACAGCACAACCACTGTTTGGGATAGTGACCTGTCTCATAAGTAGAGCCAGACTTCATCTGGGCCAGCCGCTTTGTTATTTTCTGAATTACGTATGGCACTTTCAAACTCGTCCTTAGTGATCGATGAGCCGGTTAGAGAGTTATAGATACCAGCTGCGGGTCTGTCGTTGTCAAAAAGTTCTTCAATATACGTTTCCCAAACATTGTTCTTCTCTTTGCTGTCGCGGACTATCTGATTGTTATTATTTACTGTTATAGTTGGTCTCATTTTTTTATATGTGCCGGCAGTCTCCTTCAGTTTTTTGTGCAAGTTAAAGACATCGTGTTGATGTTGCAGCTACTCTATCTCTGAGCATTCACGTTTTAGCCATTCGTTCTTTGCTATTCTAATCTTTTTTTTTTCTTTGACTTGAGAGAGATATTTTCAAGACGGCCACCAATAGTACATGGTCAAAAGGCACCTCTGCCCCAAGATATGTTACGGCTCTCTTGATGGTTGACTTGAATCATTGGTTGATCAGGATGAAATCTATTTGGTTTCGCACTACAATGTGTGCACGGTCCGCTGGGGACTTCCAGGTATAGAGTTGGCGAGGATGACGTTGATACCATGTATTTGTTTCTTTCATGCTTTCCTCCTGGCAACCTCCTCCATCTTCTTTTCTCCAAGACCATACGATCCAACTAACTTCTCAAATTTACCCTTTCCTATTTTGGCACTGAAGTCACCCATAATTATGTTGACGTCATGTTTTTTAGTCAATTTCAGCAACTCCTTGATTTCATCATGAAATTTCTTCACATCATGGTTCGACGAGTCCACAGTTGGTTCGTATACCTGTCTTGTATTAAGATCTCTTGGCTTGGCTCTGAGTTTCAATAAAGCAGTGCGGCCCGAGTATGGAACAAAGTCCACGACAGATTTCAGTAGTACTTTTGTTATAACAATTCCCACACCTTTTCTATGATTTGGATCGTCAATACCAGAGTAGAAGAATACTCCGTTATCCACATTGCACCCTCCCACACCAGGCCACCAGGTTTCATCGACACCTATGATATCCAGTTTGAGTCTGATCATTGCTCGTGTGGTTTTGCCAGTTTTTTAGCATCGAATAGGCTTCTTACAATTTTGTGTTTCGATCTTCAATGGTTTTCTTAGTTTCTTAGTCTTAGGTTTTTATAATATGGAAATTGAATTGATCATATATAGTTCGTCTTTCGAGGTATTAGGTAATGCAAATTAGTATTTATGTACCTGTGCAGCAACAACGGGATTGAGCTACCTACATCACCATTTGATTGTTCACTTGAAAATAAGATACTAGGTAATTCTCATGTGATCGATTATTTATCAGCCTTGAAGTTTACATAGATCAGTGTCGAACCTTATTTTGTTTGAAATTTTCAATAAAAGTTCCCGAAGAAGTTGATATCCCTTCCACCTTATAACGCAACCTAAGTTGTTGACGAAACCTTCTATCATTACTCATTATTGTTGACTATGGGCATAACTTGTTTAGACATCTACATATATGAAATGCTAATGTAAATATGTCTGTATCGTCTCTACTGGTCGTGGGTTGCTCTAGAAAAATGCTCTAAGATCCATTGTCGCCGGATTTTTTATTTTTCATTCATGTAAAGTGACGAATGCGCAGTAATGCCAATGGTCAGTGGTGGAATGACCAGCGTGACTAAAGTTAGATCATAGACAATATATCATCATTTATAGATGACAATTTCATTCTCATTTCCTGGCATACATAGGCCAATCAACTAGTTGGAAATATTGGATTATATGGGCATTTTGAAAAAACCGAATCCCAAATGTTTTTTTTTTTTTTTTATTGAAGGTTGCATTGATTCTTGGTATAACTGGAGCGTGTCGCACCCACGAGTTACATTCTATGACCATTGAGGACTTTCAAGACTTTGGAACCGCCATGCTGGTAACCGTGCAGGCCAGCGATACGAAACCGAGTCGCCAATTCACACTAACCGGATATTCCTACGAGCTTTGTAAGAAATATATGACTTTGCGGCCGGATAATGCTTTGAGTAATCACTTCTTTTTAAATTACCTTAAGGGCAAATGCACCGCACATAATATCGGCATTAATAAATTGGGGAGAATGGGCAAACAAATAGCTATGTATCTGCAACTACCCGAGCCTAATAATTATACGGGACATTGCTTTAGAAAGTCTTCTTCACGATGGGCGAAAATGTTATAAGATCAACTATTCATATACCTACATTAGTAAATATCAAATAGAGAGCTTCTTCGGAAGTTCTCTATTTTTGCCAGAATTGCATTTCAAATGGAACTTCGCAAATAATTCCATTGCATTGCAAATTATTATTATACATCTTGGTCTTGGTAAACAGTGTTTAACGTCAGCGAATAAGGGTTCTTACACATTAAAAGCGTCAAACGCTATTTTTTTATGAAGAATCTTTAATCAATTTACGTACATGTTATTTTGATTGGAACTGCTACTGCTACTATTTATTATGTTGTTGAATTGAGTAGTAATATCCATTGCATTATTATCAAATTATATACTATTAGGTTTGTTGGGTAAAACTTTGGGGGTAAACATTTCTGAACTTATATGTCTACATAATTACTCAGTTGTATAATAAATTATTGCCCAGCATTGAACTTGTCTTATAATGGGTCTAGAGTAAAGAATAAATAAGCTTTATATGCTCGAACTTATTGTTTTTGTTTCAATATTTTTTTGAGAAAATAAATGAATTTTCAAAATTATATTTTTGAGTCTTACTTGAAACAATGCAAAGATGTTTAGTGAAATTAACATACTAATTTATTTTAGAAACCACAGGTCGTTGTGAACGAACAAGAAAACAATACGAGACAACGTATTTGAATTTTATGAAATGGCGAGAATTAAATAAACACAAAGAGCTCTCTGAAGAAGTGCTTTCAAAGTACTTTCAGCATCTAGCCCAAACCCATACGACATCTTCCTTATTGTCTTACTATTCCATATTACGAGGTACTTTGAGTCGTAACGATAATGTTGATATTGGAGACTACAAAAAATTACGAAAAGTTTTAAGAGATAAGGCAAAAGGCTATAAATCTAAAAAAGTGAAAATTTTCAATCAAGAAGAAATTGATCATTTCATTTGGGAGGCTCCTGATCATGATTATCTTGACGTTAAGGTAAATGGCTCATTGAAATATGTATTGCCCGAAAGCTGATAACTCTAATATTTTTTGTTGTGTTGTATTTTCATCTTTTATTTGAAAAAGATATATTGGTTGAAGACCACAAAGAATTTAAATTTCACTTTTTTCAATCAGTTTTTATAATATTAATTTATGATATTAGTGCTAAAAGTGACATTTCATTTTGTGAAAAGGGAAGTTTGGGAAACGACGCCGAAGGCGGAGTGGAGTGTTTCATCCCTTTGAACAAAATAAAATCACTTTTAGCACGCATATCACACACTATTTTTTCTACAAACGCACTAAAAGTGATTACTTTTAGCACTCAGTGCTAAAAGTAATCACTTTTAGCACCAGTGTCATAGAATGGCATTTTAGACACTGACAGCATTCGTTAAAAATGACACCTTTAGTGACGTTTGTAGAAAAACAATATTTAGGCACTATACACTTTTCAAACAAAACATATTGAGAGTTAGCTACGCTTCTGAGCACATTATTATTAAAAAAGCCACTTCATTCACAAATTACTTATTTTTGAAAGGTTGCGTTAATAATGGGTATAACTGGTGCTTGCCGAACCAACGAATTACATCAAATGACTATAAATGATTGTCAAGATTTAGGATCGGCCCTGTTAGTTACAGTTCCGGCTACAGATCCCAGACGCAGTCGTCAGTTCACATTGACTGGTTATTTCCACGAACTCTGTAGGAAATTTATGGACCTTCGACCCAAGGATTGTGCAGTATCAAATTTTTTTTTGAACTACCAAAATGGTAAATGCACTCCTCAAAATATTGGTATCAATAAACTTGGAAGAATGGGAAGACAAATAGCAATTTATTTGAATCTACCGGAACCGGAATTATATACTGGACATTGCTTCCGGAGATCATCTACTTTTCAATTAAAAAATATGCAATAATTATGCACCTGTGTGTGAACATGTTTTTTCTTTAATAATAATTTATCTGCATACACAAAATGTTATTTATTCAATGATCTTTTAGTTTCATTTCAATGTAAATTTGTGCTTTTATTTTAAATGTTGCTTAGAAGATAAATCCATTTTTTCTCCGTCATACTAATTTTTAGAACCAGCTGTCATGTCTCCGGAAACAACACCATCATCGTTTTTTGAAATATTCCCAGCCTCAGAAATATTATTGGAATCCTGTCAGAAAAAAACAAAAATTCCTGAGGTAAACGATTACGTCGTAGTCAAACTCTTGGCCCAACGGAGCGTCAAACATTACGTTGCCGTTATTATCTCTAAAACTGAAGACGAAATTGTAGCCAAGTTCATGAGGAAGTCTCTTGGAAATAAGTTTTCTTTTCCCTCTATTGATGATATTGCCAATATTGAGTTGCATGAGGTTGCTGAAATTTTAAGTCAACCTGCAATCAATAACAGGCAACAGTATACTTTCAATATTGATTTTTCGAAGTATAAAAATATTAGTTAAATTAATAAGCTATAGAAAAAATAAATGTTTTCTGGAATGTTAACTCTTTTGGATTTCTCGATAATGTGAAAAAATAATTTGAAAAATATAATATGGCATCTTTTATCATAGGTCATGAAAAATTTACTTTAGCTTTGTTCGGATTTGAAACAAGGATGGTTCAAAACAATCGCACAGTTTGTTATTGAAATTTTTAATAGCCGAGCCGTTTTCATTTTGTTGATTGATGAATTGTGCGACTGTTTTGAACCGTTCTGGAACCGTCCTTTTTTCAAACCCGAGCAAAGCTTTTATTTTACTCTGAAATTGTGATATTTTTTTTATAGTAAAAAATCTTCTTTTAATTTTTCTAATATTTTAAGTGCCTTATTTTGAAATAATATGTAATTTAATTTTTAATTTAAGCATACAGAATACCTCAATTATTTTTTTTTTATCATTTAAAAACATATTTAACTTGTTACATACAATTATTATCATTGTAAGCTTTTTCGTTCCTAATTTTGTGTTCGGGAGTTGCCATAATAAATTTTAGCTTAGAATTATGAAGTTTTATTGAGGGCTTCTTGTAGAAACAACTGCGTGGCTCGAGAAGGATAAACAACTGTGGAATTCTAAACATTTTGGAATGTTTAAATTTTCTTTAATACAAAAAGAAAACTTCAGTCTTCTCCACTAATTTTTATTTGTTTCATTGTGGGAAAACTACTAGGACATGTTTCGAGATTATAAGATGCATCATCAGCTAAAACAATTACAAAGGAGAACTTGTGACTGAAAAATAAAAAAAATATCACTAAATATTTATATAAATGCGTATTAATTTATATAAATGGGTAGTTTTAACCCTTGAGGGGTGTACAGTGTGTTTCGGAATAATTGCTGGGTAAATTTATAAGTTTAAATCTATGTACACATTATTTAGTGATTTTTTTTTTGTATATATTTTTTTTTGTGTGTATATTTTTACAGTCACAAACGTCAAGTTCTCCTTTGTAATTGTTTCAGGTGATGATGGGATTGTTATAGTCCCGAAACATGTCCTAGTAGTTTTCCAACAAAGAAATGAATAAAAATAAGTGAAGAAGACTGATTTTTTTTTTTTTGTAATTTACAAAGCTCCACTGCAAGAAAATTGACTATTTTTTCAATTTTCTTCAATATTTCTTTGCCGTCCATAAACGTTCAAAAAATGTTGGCGATCATATTCGCTATTATATTGTCATATCATCTGTCCACTCCCAAACAAAGGCAACTTTCGTCTGTTTCCACGCTGCTTTGTATTTCGCTGTGTGGTACCCTGACCCTTTTTCCATTATCTTTATATCATCCAACTATCTCCCTTGTGACCTACCGACATTCGATTTTGTTTGTCGTGGTCTTCATGGCTATATGTCCTACTCATCACCACTAATTTCTTTCTCTTCTTATTTCTTCACCACGAACTCTACATGTAGACTGAAGCCAAGCACAACCCTTCGTATTGTCCTGAGGCTCTTGTGATACCTACATCTTGGCGATGCTTTCAAGATCCTATGCAACAGGTAAAATGCCTGTATTGAAGAATTAATTTTAGTTCTTTAGGAATGTCAGGGTTTTTAACTATATGGCTCAATAATTTTCCATGCTTTGATTGCTCGCTTCACCTCCGCCGCTTTAATGCGTCAACAAATCCAAGGTTTTGTCAGCTGCCTTTATATTTTACCCAGTCCTGCTTATTTTTGTTTTTGATAAATCCATTTGAAATCTCAGGTTATGACCTGTTTTGTTTGGTCGTTTCAGCATGTTTTTAAGTTCCTGTGTATCCGAACTATCCAGTACAATATTATCGGCGAACCGTTAAGGGTTTAAACAGTTCCTATCAATTTTATCTCTATTTTCTCATGGTAACATCTTGAAAAGTCATCCAAGGCAAAAGGGTAGAGTTTTGCAGACAAAGGACCGCCCTAGCTCCCTTTTTTTTCAGTCAATATATTTTCATCTTTCATTTTGACAATTGATTTATTTCTTCTGGTCGACAGTTTCAATTTTGAGACCCTATATATGAGAGTTATCCTCAATTGCGGTTTTGATTGCTCTGGTATTGTAGGTTCGCGGATCCTTTCCTATTTCCTTCAGCGGTCTCTTGTTGAGTTTTCGATAGTCCATTGTATATCCGGAAGTTGTTTTCCTTTCTTTCATAACTTTCAGTGTTCGGCGTTAGTTTATTATCACTTGGTATTTTATGTCTGGTTCAAAGCACTACTTACTGTGGTGGTGTTTCGGACAGGGTGCGTTTCTATTTTCTAGGCCTCGCTTTCCATTGAGTCTCCCCTGGACTCTCCGATATACTGTATTGTATGTTTATGGGTATACATGGACAATTTTTTTTTTCGGTACCTAGGTTCTACTCCGTTTCTCTTTTCCTTTTCTATGCGTCCGTGACAAGAGCTGGATGACCAACATCTCAACATCATCAAATATCTTGGATGTGGTTTTTGTAAAAGTCCAAGATTGCACTTGTTATAAATTAGATTGAAAATGTTGGGAGAGTTAGCTCTCTGCCTATTCGTCACTGCTACCCTGCGGATCTATTGTGACACTCCATGTTATAGATTCTTGTCCGGTTTTATCTCTCTGATCAGACTCCACAACCTCGGAAATGGCTCCCAAGTATAGCTTGCTGCTTCTGGTTTGGTTGAGCCAAAAGATCGAAAGCGCACTTTGGACAGGCCTTCGCAATGGCACAGGACGTGAGTTGCCTCCTCCTCTTGACAGAACCTGAAATCTGTGTTTTCTTCCACTCCCATCAGACTCAAGTGTCTATCCAGTCGGCAGTGGCCTGTCAGCAAACCCACCATTATTCTGACAGCCCTCCGATCATGGCTTAGTAGGATTGGTAAAGGGGGTTTCCAAGAACCTCTTTTTCCTGGTATATGTGTCCGCCATTTTTGGGATTTTTTTTCACCCATTTCTTAATGGATGTATTGGCAATACGCTAGCCTACCCTACAAAAGGGTTCAGGTTCGGTCATTCGCATTGACGAGTCTTTTCGAGTTATTTTTTCAGAACCTTTATTGCCCTGATGGCCTTTATGCCCTGGTACCCATGATAGCGTCGCATCATTCTGACTTCCTATCTCGCTTAATTCTTTGTGACAATCCAGAACTAACTTTGATGTTATTTTGTTAGGCTGCACTACTTTTATTGCCGCTTCGCTATCGGAATAGTTCAAGATCCTTTTATCGCGAATCTTCACTTTCTTTATTTCTATTGCGCAGTCTTCTATTGGTGTTATCTCCGCTCGGAAAACTTTTGATAGGTTTCCCATGGGTATCGGAATTTTAGATTCCGTCCTAGGTTCGTAGATTTCAGCTCCTACTCCTTCCTGGGTTTTTTGAGCTATTAACGACCAGATTGTGTTCAGTATTGTTTTACAAAGCTATAATAGGTTGTGGTGCTGTTCATAGGCATTCCTAGGATATCATTTGCCTTTATCTCCTATATAACTTATCATGTTTGGCGTCGTGTCCGCCTATTATGGCTGATTGGCCTTGCAATAGTCTGTACGTGACGCGTGACGGACCGTGCTTCGTGTATGTATATTTGGATGAGTGGAAGGTTCAATAAAACCTCCAGCGTTGCGGTTGCCGTTGAGCTCATAGCACCAGTAACGTACAGGCACGCTAGCCTTTATACGCCACTTAGTCGCTTTATCGCCTCTACACTTCTGGTTCTGGCCTACCATATTATTGATCCATATTGGAGCCCTAAGTGTGGTCTTCCCAATCTCGAATATGCGATTTCCAAGTTCAAAAATGACTCCAAGGTATTTTACTTCTTTGGAAAAATTTAGTTCTCTCCTATTTAGTCCATTGGGGGCTCGCCTTTTGGTGAACGTGACAGGACAGCTGTTGTTTTTCTTGGATTAACTGTGTCGCACCAGTTTTCCACCCTTTTGAGGAGCCCTTTGGCTTCTTTTCGATAGTGTGTTGGGAAATTTGCCCCGTACCAAAATCGTTAGGTCGTCTGCGTAGCCTAGGCAATAAAAACCCTCAGCAGACAGTTTCCTGAGCAAACCGTCCACTAATATGGCTCACAGCAGTGGGGATAGGACTCTACCCTGTGGACATCCTCTTCCGACTGCTGCCTTTATGGTAGCTTCTTCTAGTGTGGATAGTATTGTCCTGTTCTTCAGACTTGTTTCTATCCATTCAAACAGTGCCTTTGGAGCTCCCCTCCTCTCTAGCGCTACTGTGATAGAGTTTGTTGAGGCGTGATTAACTGCCCCTTCAAGGTCCAGGAAAGTGGCCAGAGCTATCTCCTTGTCCTCTATTGACTTTGAGAGCAGCCTATTTAGGTCATCCAGTGCTAGGTTTGTCGATTTATCCGGTTTGTATGCGTATTGGCGTTCACTTAGACCGAAGGCCTGTAATCTATTGTCCCTGATATGCCTATCCACTAAGCTCTCCTATAAAAGGACAGAGAAGTTATGTTCACAGAAAACCCTTTTCATTTCACGTTCGTGCGTCTTTTTTCCGGGATTTCATGGGAGTCCCACCAAGGAGCTCTACCCAGTTATTAAATTTTTCACCTGTTCCAATTGCTCTAGCCGAATCCGCAATCCTCTACCAAGTTTCGTTTTTCCGACATTCTGTTCAAGTTGATAATCTCCCCCAAGGTACCAGATCCAAGAGAAGCTGAAGGTCCTGGATATTTTCTACGCATTTCGCAGTATATATTTATTATTATACCGTATGAAATAGTAACTCAGAATAGACATTGAGAAGTAGGAATAAATAGCTCTTGCCTCGCCTCTTTTTTTTTATAATACAGTATCCGCCGAAATAAACAGTACCCTACATAGAAATTATATCATTTATTAATTTCTGTCATGCGTATATGTTCAAAAAATGCATCACAGCGACGCATAAAAGCTTCATAACGATTCTGCAAATCATTGAAAATATTTACTAAGAGTGATTGCTGAAATTTTTCTGATACTTGTTTCAAACT